CTCTCTCTCTCTCTCTCTCTCTGCTAGCTTTATGGTTTGTTTCTAGTTTATAGTTTTATTAGTTTATAAACGTCTCCCTTCTTCAATTCAAGCACTGTTTCAGGTTCAAATGGCATCCGATGCTGCCATTGTCACTTGGTATCTATCTGCTCTCTCTCATATTTTTCACTATGCTATTGTGGTATTGTGCTATTATGGTTGGTTGGTGAAGCATAGAGAGACACACACAGAGTAAAACACGTTTCATTGTATTTGTCTTACTACACACAGGGGCTCGGGTGAAGATGGACAATTGGGAATCGGGAACAACGAGGAGATGGAGTGGGTTCCGAATGTGACAAACCTTTTGGGGCTGACAAACCTTTTGGAACGGCTCCGAATGTGAACTCGAGTGTTCCTGGTACAGGACATGCCATACAGGGTGGGTATGCGAATCAGGCAAGTATAAGCCCTGGAATGATGGGAAGCTATGGAAATCAAGGTGCAATGCAAGGTGGCTACCCGAACCCGCAGATAGGGCAAGGTTGTTCAGGAAGAGGGCAGCATGGTGTTGGGCAATCTGGTGGCGCTCCTTACTTGGGGCATTAGGTGCCCCTGAGGTATAACAAAATCACTCTTTTACTTGATAATTTGAGTTATTCTCACGCTCACACCATAACTGATCACAAAGTCACTCTTATACTATTCCTTTTTTGGTAGTCAAATACTATTTGTACTTTAGTAAGTTTAATTGAATGAGTGTAGAAGATTTAATTGTATAGGCTAATAGGAAATAGAACATCATTGCTTGAATCCTATTCATTTTGATTTACTAGGTTACTGAAGGCTATTAGGGTTTTCAAGTTTTAGATGCCATCTATAGTCAATGCAGGGGTGATTCCATTGCGAGGAAATGCCTGGGGTATAATTTGTTGTGTGAAAACACATTGAGTTTTGGTTTTAGATGATAGAAACTTTGGCTTGCTGGGTATTTAGATTGATTTTCAAGAACTGAATAAGTGACTTTTCAATTGATCAAGGGAGTGTGCGTTCTTTTGAGCAATTCTTTTACAATTGTTAGGATCTTTTTCAATATTATTGCTTCTTTATTTTGTACAGCTCCTTAAGATGAATACTTTCTTGTCAAACTTCTTGAATTTAAGCATTTTGAATTATCTAATGTTTTTGCAGCAAGTTGATATCATTCTTGCATTTAGAAATTAACTGCCGAGACCAGTTCGCCTTTAGACTTTGAAGTCTTAACTTGTATTCATTTTAAAGGGATTTTGGGTTTTAAACCTCTCTTTTGAAATTAGTTTTCATAATTTTTTATTAAATGTGCAGATCCCAAATAGGTGCATTAGTGTTTTTGTACTGGTCTGGTGATTCTTCTGAAGTTTACAAGGAGCTGATGGTTACTACAAAGAGCAGAATCTTAAAACTGTCAAATGAAATTTCTGTTTTCCTTCCCTTTTCTGTCTTTTTCTTCTTCAAAGTACTGTAGTTTTTTTAATTTTATTTGTTTGAAAGCTCAAGAGTTTGAGAAATTCTCTTATAAACCTATCTGTGTTTTATGGAGTCGCAAGGTTGAACAAAAATACTTTTTAAATTCCCAATCCTATGGATTAAATGAACTTTATAATGTAGTTTTTCTTCTGCAATGCTCATTGTTAGCTTTGTTTATTAATGTTTTTTTTATTGTTTTTTATTGGTTTTGAATAATTTTCTT